CGCTCTCTTCCTCTCTTATGCTGTTCTATTTCGTTTCAATCCGTTCGATGCTCCATTGCCGGATCGAAACGAGATCGCCATGTGTCTTTCTTTCGCATGCACGCGTTTCCAAATGCGCGATTTTTCTTCGTTGCAGACCAATAACGCCATGTCATTGTTATTTGTCAATAGCGACTTCGTGTGACAGGAGGATTCATATTTTTAACGATGCGATGCACGTGAATTTTGTGATTGCGATATTGGACGCGTAAAGAGTATAGGTCTTCGCTAATATTCAGACGAACGAGTGTATTTTTAATCGAACATTTGCGTTCGTACTTATACCGAAAAAGGATCGTTCACCTATCGATCGTAGACAACTAGACGCGAATTTTATCGATTATTCATCAATAGAAAAGTACGATCGGTGAGGTCCAATATAGACAAACGATGTGACGTGGTGTAGTTGCAGCTTCGTATCAGTGTGGCTATAATTTTACAGTTTTATTTTTCTAAAGTAGAAGCACACGCAACAAAATTGCAATATTCGTCACATTACTTGTCTTTGAATCTAAATCACGAACCAACAAAATTCGACGAATGTCTCTCTTGGAATAGTTTTACTTCATCTGTCTTCTACGCTAGATAGACTTGGCTTCCAATTATTCGAGGCGTCGAGGAGGCGAAAATTGCTCGAAGTAATCGGGAAGTTTTCGGCATCGGGATATGGATGGCGATTATCGATGGCAACGAGTTCCAAACGAATTGCGATATTAAGTAAAAATGGGCCAGCCGATCGTTATCGGGCAGATATCCCTGCGGAATTTCGTTCGTCCACGTGGATTTAACGACGACGGCGGATATAATTGGAAATCGATATCCAAGAAAATTCTATCCATTCTGCACGGGTTATTATCCTATTAATTTGTTCGATTCGATTTCGACTGGAAGACAGCTGTGATTTTTCAACCTCGTTTGCTTTCCTCGGTTCTTATCTTTTAAGACAAGTATCCTCGATTCGTTTCCTCTCGTTGAGAACGTATACCGTGGCCGAAGAAACTTATCATGCAAAACTCTTATCTACATGTTACGTCTGTTACGTAAAACATTTTGCAATTTTTCCTTCTTACCTACAACATTTTGAAATCTCACTAGCGCGCGAATGAGATACGCGCGACTGTTATTGTGATTATTATGGCCAAATTCAAAACCAAAAATATAATAGATTCGTTCTTCCGTTAAATATTTCGTAAACACACAGGATATTCTCGTGAAAGATTTCTACAAGCGTTCGAGTATTTTCAGTTGTATAAAGACGGGCCAATTTTCTGTGTGGTTAGAAAAAATCATGATATACGCGTGTACTTTGCTTTCAAAGAATCTTCAGTTGAATCCTCGATATTGTGCTTTCTAGAAGATGAAGCTTGCTGCGAGCATAATTTCGGTGCTGGGAAAGTCTGTTCCTCCTCCTTTCGTCTTCTTTTCATAGAGAAGAGATCGTCAAATCGAAAGGGAACACGGCTCGTATCGTTCGCGATATTCAGATACCGAGCGACGACGTTCACAAAGCGATGTCTTTCTATCAAAAAATTTACCCGAATATTTCTGAACCACCTTTGAATTTATTTCAACCGGTTAATACCACTTGTACATAGATTTCTTCTTCTTCTTTATCTTCGTATTCTTTGGTGGTTTCGATGTTTCGCGTTCTTCCTCTTGCAGCGAAAAGAGTAAACGCGTGTCAATAGTAACAAATGATCCTTAGAAAGATTTGGATGAAACTTTATAGGCTTGAAGAATGTACACAGTCGCTGTACGTTCCCAAAAGAACGTGGTCGACGCAGTTTCCTTATACATTTTGGAAAATTCTTCGTCGTCTCTAGCATTTTCTTCGGACGTATTAAAAGGCATTTAGTCTTGTAAACATTTTCTTCTATCTCCGATCATTTTTTAATTAGCTCGCAGAGTTATGAAAACTCGAGTTATCGCATCCAAGAAAAGATACGTACGATTTTTAGCCGATCTTGAAGCCTGCAGATTCTCCAAATCGAAGCCGGATCTGCTTTGTCAGTTACGTCAAACAGGCTGACGCTTTTGTAATTCCTTTGCAGATGCGAGAAAAATCGCTGGGAAGATCTGCAAGGCGGCGCTTCTCAACGTCCGCAGGAAAAATTGTGCAAGAACTCGTTATACCCGGAAGCAATCGATTCGCAAATGGCTCTTTCCCATCGATCAGTCTGGCAGCCGCGCGTCGCTCCGAAGATTGAGATATTTATGAAGGCGATCCCGGTGGACGCAAGGGAACGATGAACGCGTATGTATTTGTACGAGCTGTATCATAAAATCGAACCGGAGCAACACGTTTACATAATCGCTTTCATATACGTGTCGCCGCTGCAAAATGTTAATGAAGAAGAACTTTCAGAATATTAGGTTGTCCGATAAGTGTCTTTCTTTCGCAAACGTGTTTTTTACAACAGTGCACCTTCGTATAAACGTGAAGCCAAGTCTGTGAAACGTCTGTGAATTACCTCAACAGAACAAAATGGATCGTGCATAATTCGACAAAATAATATAAAACAAAAAAACGTCTATTATTTTCTCATAACGTTGTGCGTCTATTATTTCCTCATAAAACGAAAGAAACTTTTCAGACAACCTAATATATTGAAATTTAGCCTGGAAGGGCGAGCAATCGTCAGAAAATGAAACTTACGAGTTTTGTAATTTCCCCAACAATGAATTACCCCATTAGGATGTTAGTATTGTAGTATCGTGGACGAGGGGCCTAGAGTGTCAGGCCAATTATAAACAAGCGGTTGTGGAACATGTGCGTGGTGAGGCTAAGACAAAAAAATAAGAGCTTGCTAAGGGAGAAAAACGAATTAACGGTCATTGTGAGTTGAGAAGTCAGAGAGTACGAATTGCGTTGCAGAGGTAGTCAAGTGTGACGTCGGAGACTCAAGAAATCACGAAACCGATAGATCGCCGGTGATCTCCTCGCGTCGCAGTTCGAACGTTTCACGAATAAGGTGAAGAAATTGAACTTTGTATACAATAATAGAATTTGTCATGCAAATCCAATAGAGCGACGATTCAAAGTGTTACAAGAGACTGATTCAAAATGTTTTAACAAACTGGGACGAGCGCTTATTTTGGAGGGTTTTTATACTGTGGTTTTAGTCCCTCTGGAGGAGTTGTCGTCTGGTGTATCTCAGAGGCGCTTATTCCGTTTCCATTTGGTTATTGTTTCGATGGCTGTGGTATGCAGGATGTCTAGCTTATCCTATTACTATTTCTGAGCGGGTGGTCTTCTTGAGCGCGTGCCACTAGCATTGTCGAGAGAGTGTCATGCGCGTGAGAGAGAGCGTTGCATCCGTGGTGACGAGAGTTGCAAATTAACTATCTAGTTGTCTTGATTATAATATATTATTGTGATTAACTCATGTTAAATAACCATTGTTTTCCGGTTTAACCAACATCTGTTTAATCCATTTATTGTAAATAAACTAATTGTAGTAAAGATCTTGTAGCGGCACATGAGCTAGAGGACAACTCGAATCATGTTGTTGTTTTGCCTCGGAGTATCAACATCGTTAGAACATACATAATGTAATAATAAATAAACTCCGGGCAAAACATTGACGTGCAACCGTCAAACAACCTCGAATTAAAATTTTCCGGCACTCCCCTGACTAATATAAATAAACGAACGCGATCGTAAGGTGACCAGCTTTCAGTCTCAGTCTCGTGCGATTTTATTAGCGATCAATACACAGTCTTTAGCGAATCAGTTAGTACCAAGCATCTTAGCGAACATTCTCTGTATTTATTCATTATTTTAAAATGTACTTGACAGTTTCAACATCGAGTTATCTCGTCATTTAAACCACACGACCAACCATCCTCTACAATCCTACAGTATTGGTGTTAATGTCTGATCGATGAGGATTAATATATTTATAACTTAAAGCAATGCTTGCCATAAAATCGCAGAAAATCGCGTAAAATATAGCGTCTGTGAAAAATTAGAAATTGTCTGCTTTAACTTTAATAGCAATGAAAGTACCTAGAAACGAGTTATTCTCCTCGTTTCGCAATTAATCAGCGGACCAATTAAACAGCGTCCTCGATGTGCAATTACCTGGCCGCGGAAATTCTTGTTTACCTATTTTCCCTTATTACGTTCACATCGCAAGTTATATCCGCGTAGCTGTTACTCGTTGTTCATATATATATATGTATGTATATATATACATATATGCATATGTATGCATAAACATATACGTACACAGAAATATACATACGCAAAGAGGAAGCCACGACGGGGATGAGGATTAAGGGCGCGTTTAAGGGCTGTTTACGGTTTTGCGGACGGCCGGCTATAAGCCTGCGTACGCTCGGCGTTCGTGGTGCGTCGGAATTTCGCCGCTGGTTTATGGATAGCAAGGGAAATCGGGACGGGACGAAGGGAACTGGATAAACGTTCGGCCGTTTGTTCGTGCCGCTTGTGGATTGCGTAAGAGAGGAGAGAGGCAGGCGATCCGAGGAGAGGGCCTTCGTTTAGCCAGGCGGTAATTCACGGTTAAGTCATTGTAATAAGCTTTGTCTACACGCTGCTCGGATCAGAGATTCGACGCGTAATAGGATTTCGTTGCGTGTTAATTCGGCCCGATTGAAGCCGCTTCCTCTCCAAGGATTAATTTAATTATTCAATCTACGCGTATCACTTGCATCGAGATAATTTTCAATGTCGTCTCCATTGATATTGTCATCCGGTTCGCGTTTCTTATATAGTTCACGAGTATGTTTTAAGGAATCGTTCGTACACTTTTAACGCGTTATGCGTGTTATGCGATATACCGAAATCTGACTATTATGAAACTCGACTACCGTGGTTATGTAAAGTTTGAAAGAAATTTGAAAAACATTACGACGAGATATTTGATGAATTTATGGGAGGATTATAATATTGCATTATTATTGTATGTGGTAAAATAATCGTTTTGAATTGGTTGCAGATGAAAACGAAGCATCTTACCGCAACGTAACGTAAATTTTTCTTGGAAATGGAGGTGATCTGCAGGTTTCAGCGATGGTACGTATAATTTATACTTTATTAATACTTTATTAATACTTAATTTATACTTTAAAAATTCCACGAATCGAAGAACGGTAAAGGTGTTGGCGTTACAAACACTATGTTTTTAATTCATCTTAGAATTTGCTATTATTCACGTTGCCTCTCACAAATGAACTCAAGAAGCTAAGTAACTCGTTGTTCGAGAATCGAACGTTAATCGCGTACTTACGTAACAAAATTGTGAAATTGGAAGAGACTTAGTTTTGTATAAAATGTATTGTTTTCTCGAGAGCAGACACGAACAAGATCAGTCTGCAAGTAATAGACAGTTGTAAGTCCCGTAAGTAATTCAAGACGATCTCTCAAATGCGGTAAATCCAGGTGAATTTGCCAGGTATTATTCGCGCTCCGTTCGATCCCGTACACCATGTTCAAACTTTGACAGACTCTTCGACTCGACGATGTCCTCTCGACAAATTCCCTCGTCGTGTTCGGCATCGTTAATTCGCGGCTGTTTTGAAAGTACACGGCCGCGTGGATCCTTAGTGGTTCGTTAAGCGCGAAAACTTCTAATTTCCACGTGTCTAACGCGAGCCAGCTGCGTACACAGCTCCTACAGTGAAGCGTCGTTGTTTGCCACTGTTTGACAACTGTATAGTAATGAGCTCTATGCCAGGTGTTTGCTGAGAAAGCAAAGAAAACGTTTGTTATCGCGTCTTGAGACAACGTTACGAAATTCCAGGATGAACTCATCGCCTTTCAGCTAAAACCTATCCTTTCGGTCGCAAAGTTTACAGGGTGTTCCAACTTTTTCCACTCAAACTGTATTTTTCAATCTTGCACACATGCTGTTCTTCTTCTTATTATTATTATCGTAGTATTATGTATTATACAAATAAGAAAATATAAATGGTCCGAAGCTTCGTCGAAAAGTTTGAAGAAAAATACGAAAAGAAGAGAACGATAACGTATTGGAGATTCCGATACAAGACGAGAATAAAACGTCGATCGATATAATTGCTAAAATGCTATAAATTAAATTGTAAAATGCTATATAATATGCTATACATAAAATGCTATATAATTAATACTTCAAAATATCTATCATTCTTGTCGGTAAATACAAGATCGACAGTGGTGAAAAATTGAATTTCGTCTCAATGAATCACCAATTCTTCGTACTAATCCGCCACGTAAATTAATTCTTCTTTAATATCGTCTTTCTTCTTCCAGGTTTCTAATACACAATGGCATAAAATCGAGCCTGTGTCACAGCATCGTTCCTTTCATATTTTGTATTTAATAAATCTCCAAACGATTTATATATTTTTTCGTCTAGAAAATCGTTGCCTCGTTATATCGAGAAGCTTGAACTTTCTCAAAGTATTGGGTTGATTGCGGATTTTGTCATTAGGTGGTATCGATACGATACAGAGCAGGTTAAAAAATGATAGTCCGAGGATATTGGAGCACCCGGTGTACATGGTCACTGGTAACAAGATATTACAGACTGAAATGTCTATTAACGTCGGGATCTTCGTTTTTCTCGTTTCCTTTTTCGAGCCTTCTAGCTGTCGCCGCGTCAACTTCGTACGAGCTTTCCAGACGGTCGGTCGATGGGAATTACAAAAAGGACAGGACGGAATACGTCGCCGTAGTTAAGCACTGTCACCGTTGTCCGCGGTAATTGCTTTTTATCGGATTGCCAGCGTTTTCGATTCGCTTGCTTCGGGGAAAAAGAGTCGACGCACTTTTGCGATATACGCCACGCGTAATCCGAAGTTTTCCAGCGCTAACGAAGGAGTTTGCGATCGCGTGCATGGAACGCACGAATCAGATTTCCCCTTGGTCCAGAACCGTAGATTGGACCTATAACGAGCACATCGTACAGCGCCGAGTATTAAGCTCGTCCACGGTGAAATCCCTTAAGCCAATTTACCTAGCTAACCCGACTTGCCACCTTAGCCCGCTGTCAGTGTCGATAGATAACGACGAAAGAACCCTGAAAGCTTTTAAGACTTCCGCTGTATCGTTTATCTTCCGTTTTTTCTATTTTTTCTTCTTGCAATGCAGCGTACTTGGTTATGGAGAAAAGGATATGGAGAAAAAGAAGGTAAAGGAATTGTGGGATTTTACGTTGAGAATATGTTGTTACTGTTGTCAGAAGAATATCGAACACGCGAAATTAGAATATCGATAACTGGTTCTTGCGTCGATTATAAATTACATTTAGCTTTTGTCTTGTCTTATACGCGTGACGAAAAATTCAAATTATCTCGTGTATGATTTTTTTAAATTACTGATGAAGCTTGGATCTGGCGTTTTGATAGATCGCGAAGTCATCGTAGGTGGAGATATTAATCGAACAGTTATGTGATTCTGAAATGCATAAGTTTGTCCAAGATACGTAGCGATGAACGCTATTTGGAATCGAATATGGATAATCATATGCAAACAAATATTAGTGTTAAATACTGTGTATAAAACTAAATATTTGTTATTTTAATTATGCGAAAATTCTTTTATCCAAAGAATTTTATCTCGCTGCTAACTATGTACATTTAAGCGCTTGATGTTTGCTCGAGGAATATCAGTAACCGAAATGTCGTATGGATTCTTGTTAGGAAAATGTGGCTGGATAAACGATAAAGTATTGTTACGGTTTTTATAGCACATCTAATATGGTAATGCCTCTTTTGTTGCATAAAAATACATCATATAAAACGTTATGGGTCATTTCGTTAGAACGTCGTTGCAACAGCGATGAAATTCACCCCGTTTCCCGAGGAACGTCGTAACGTAAATGTCTTAAACAAACCATTCCTTCGAGACATCGTATAAAATCCCTCTCTTAAACTTTGCTTAAATTAATCAAATTACTTAATGTCTCGTTCGTACTAGCTAACTTACTAAAATTCGAGTCGCTTGAATTTGAATAACCTGACTTATTATTACCACGTTTGATGACTCGATTTAGGTAAATCGATATCAGTGAAAATGAAACTAGGTATAGTATCACGTTGTGTAATAATTTTCGTTGCTTTGAAGTCATGCAGTCGTTGGGAGAACTGCAGCTTCGTTTGAAAGGATACTCCGACTGAAATAACAAGTTTCCATTAACAAAGTATTTCGAATTTGAATTCAAAGAGAAGTCAAAGTGAACTCGATTGTTCGATAAAACCGACGCTAGAAACTTGTAAATAAATTTAAAGCGGACAAAAACAAGTGTACGTTGCTAGAGCATACGTTTGAATCCAAGTTACTCGAATGTAGAAATTTATCGAACCGAATCGACACGAGGTTCGATAACAGAATAACAGAGCCTGTGTATAATTGGTACAATTAACTGATATAATTACGAATAATATATTCGTAAATCTAATTGTACAATATGCAAACTAAACGACCGTGAATTATAAGGTTAGACGAAGAGAAACTGAATAGCCTTCATGCAACGCGAAGTCACCAGGGTGAGAGAACAGCAATCAAGTGTCAGTTATCTGTTGAAGTGGCTTCTCAGAAGGGATCGTAATTACTCAGAGCTTAGTCGTAATTCACGAGGCAAGTGGTAATGTGTTCGTTGCGGTGCATTACTTAATTTTGCTCAGTGGCAAGAAGAGGACAGACGGTGAAATTCCGGTCGATCCCGCGAGACGAAATTCAAGGCGGAACGCGAGAGTTTTAATTTAACGTTCGTTTAACGGGTACGCGAGGAAAAACACGCGGAATGCTCGTTGGCCGGAAACGGACGCGAAACAGAACGTTAATTGTGCCGTGATTTTCCGGCGTCGTCACGAGCGAATTATACGACGAGAAACGGCGAACGAAACGAGAGAAAGAGGGGCCAGAAGTCGTTGCGACGCGGTTTTAAACGCTGATGCCGAGTCGGGGGACGAGCGTGGCGGCGCATAAATCAGACATAAATCGACGGTGAGACGCTCAAAAAGTCCAGTTCGCAACGGCGAATACAAACGAGACGGCGGCCTCGCAAAACCGATAGGAACAAACGCGACCGGAAGCAGACTATGGACCAGAATGGCCGAGCCATCGTTGACCGAGGGAAAACGCGCAGCTGCGTCCACGGTGAATGCATAATTTGTTTACGGAGCTGGGGATCGTTTCCGGCACGTCGGTCATCGAATGGCTTCGTTGTCCCGTACTTTCTGACCCAGAAGGCGACCACGATCAATTATCTTTTCCCCTTCGTTGCGTCTTATCGTTCTCAATTTATCGTTCATCGACTTTGCGCGAGAAATTTCTCATATTTCCTTGTAAAGCGTCTGACACTGCGATTTTCGACACGGTTTCGCGAGAATGTTTTTATTATCGTACAGAAATATTAAAAATTTGCATTATTTTCATATTCAAAGTAGTTCGTTCGGGGAGTCGAGTGTCGCAGGGAACGTCGTTCACGACGTATAAAATCGCGTAGGAAATTTCAAGCGGAACTGCTTTCGAAATCGTACGATCTGTGGTTCTAAGATGACAACCTCTGAGATGGGTTTTGACCTTTGAACGTAAAAGGCAGTCGTATAAATTCGGATCCAGGGCAACAGACTGTGCAACTTAACTCAAAGCTTACAATTACGTATACGATGAAAAATTAGAAGTCTACCTATTTGTCCCCACAGAATCCAACAATTTGTAGGAAACAAGGATCCTCTCACGCTGGGAATATCCTTGGGCACAGATATTCGTAATTCTATTAATTTAATTAATAAGAAAATCCGCTTAATGGAAGACCGAATAATGGTACAATAGAGAAAATCATTGCAAATATTCCACTAGTAATATACACAAGTCCGATATCGATAAGTAGAAGCTACAGTTCGAGTAATTAACCAACATCGAAGGAGAAGCTGATCGTGTCACTGATGAGCTATTAAACGCGATAAAGCTTGTAGTAGTGCGTCGCGCTGCTTGTTATTAATTATTATCATTGTCAAGGCTTGAGGTAGAAGAAATTTGCTCGCAGATGTAGATTTTTTGGATTTTTTTCTAATTAAGCTGATGAATACAAGGTGAGTCGCAAGAACCAAGAACGAAGAAGCATCGTCGTAGTGCATCTCGTGAAATCGTATGTCGTTCTTCAGATTGAAGTAGCCCCGTTGCATCGGAAGATTTATCTACAAAGCTTGTCCAGCGCACGAAGCACCAGCAAAAGCATTTTCGTGGAAAGAAGCGCGAGATATCGGCGCGGTACCTTCCAATGTGATTTCGTTGAAGCTTCTTTTGTGTATCCCGGTGTTTCTTGCCGGCTGACGGGATCAGATGATAGAATCGCTATAGAACGCGATAGCAGAGCGAGCTAGGACAGCTACTAGGGCCGGAAGATAAAGAGAGACAAGGAGCGGTGAGCAGAGGCGGAGATTAATCCTAAAGGACCTAAGTAAACCGCTTCTAATGGACCCTGTCACTGGGCTCCAGGACGCCTATCTCCTGTGTACTTCACTTTGCCGGACCACGGAGTGACGATAATAATGGAGAATCGAGCGCGAGAAGGGAAGAAAATGAGGGAAACGGAGGGAGCCAGGGTAGCAGCCTGAGCATTCTGTCTGGAAACCGTGAAGGCGGTGCTGGAAATTAATAGGCTCGTTCGAAAGTCTCCGACCGTCTGTGACAATGGCCAGTTTGGTCAATTGGATCGACGTCGTTTGGAACGTTAGAAGGCGAAGTAGGTGTTCGCCGTTCATCTTCCTGACACGATTTTTATTGAAACTCCAGGCCGGTTGAAACGAGCTTGGCCTAACATAATGGTTAGAGAATTTGTTAGCAGATAGGAGGGATTAGATAGGTGTTCGAACACACTCGTTTCGATGTTACGAACACTGTTCGTAATTTCCAAGTCTACTCGTGTCCATTGTGACGTCTATATCATCGATTTAATAACGCAAGAAACGACGGTTTTAGAAATTTCAATGGATAAGATCCATCCAAAGCTTGGTGTTCTTTGCTTGACTTTTACAGATGTTGAGGTTGGACTGATAGAAGAACGAGTGGATGAATTTGTAATAGAAAAATATATTGAAATAAACAAAGATATAAGTATAATGTATTAGTTTATACTGATCCAGATTATCATTCTCATAGTGTTACAATACAATAGAATCGATAGGGAGCACGTTCATATATTTGTAGCAAAAGACATTACCAAAAAAGTTAGGCTTCTGGCTTTAGCTAAAGGCTACAAGAAACATAAATGAAAATCTATACTCCTCTAGCTCCTAGACCCAAACATAATTTATATTCAAGGGCACAATAATATGGACTTTTCCTGATTTAGAATACTTTTGGTTTCACTAAATTCTATTTTCGGCGTAACAGCGGTCTCCGGATCACAGATATACAAAAATAAAGATGTAGAGTTTTTCATGAAGTAATTGCTTCAACAAGAGATTCTCCTTGCCCGTGGATAGACGACCGAGCTTAATTTTAAAGCGTGGTCGATAATAGTAGCAACGAAGAGACACAGGGCGGAAAGATTGAAACAGGTAGTAGAAGAGATACAAATTGTGAGAATTATCTCGGACGAAAGTTGCTGCAGCTACAGTTAGTAGGAGGCTAGGCACTTGTTAGTCTACACATTATTCCTGTCGTATTTTATTTTCTTCCATGCAAGTTAACGAGCGAGTGTGACATGTTTGTTTATTAAATATTATCTACGTTTCTGCAGTCGTGTCTCGTGCGAATCGACCGAGTCGTCAGACGGCGCTGTATAAATGTGGCCATTAGAATGCGGAACGTAATTTAAGTATAATGGGCCGTATTTGTAACATATTCAAAGTTTACCTAACAACCACAGTGAATCGCGTCGCTGCTGTGCCAAAACACGGGCATATGCATGCAAATGCGGCGAATAGACAAACGGGACTGCGGCTGTCCGTGTCAGAAGTTCGTTCGAGGATTTCCTTGCGAACAGACGAATTTACCACGGAACGCCGCGAATGCGAGTAGACGCGAGCGAACGAACGCGTGTACGGGCCGCATACGGCAATCAGAGTTTGCCTGAAGTTTCGGTTTGAACGCGGGGAACGTAGTTTTGCCGCGACGAGCTGCCGAAGCATCGTTCCATTCCCCGTGTTACCGCATTCCGTTAAAATATGCGGAAGGCCGTAACTCCCGTTACAAGAACATCGAACCTCATCTTTGATGCTTCAGAGTATTTCTTATCATTTCTGTGACTGGAAGTTTCTATTTTCGGCTTTTTCGCTGGCTTTTCACACCGATTATTTATTAATTTCTTCGACCGTGTTGTAAAACGTATTCTCAAGAAGTTTGAATGATAACGGAAGAAACGGATGTTTAATTTATAATTTTTACTTGTAACAATTCTCGAAATTGCCTCATTTTTTGTTTGAATTAATTATATGGAATTAATTATTTGTTTGATCGATAAAATATCTTCGACAGCGTTAATATTATCCTGATGAAATGTTTAAATCGTTTGATGTTCGCCAAACAGACATTTGCTAGTTTTTAAAAATATTTTTCGCTCACATCGACATTTTTCATTCCCGACATTTACGCAACTTTTAACTTTACAACTAGGTAAAACGTCAAATACACGTTATTTTACAAATATAGATATTACGGTACATCATGTTGAAACACGCAAAACCATCTTTGCTCTATAGCTAAAATATTCAACATTCTCGGAGGACACGTTCCACATATTCCACGATATATGCAGTTTGCATTCTGCATTGTTATAACACTAAACGTAGCGAAAATTCAACGAACGTTCGTTCAATTCAATCGCCTAATTTCACCAGCGTCGTGCGATGTATCTTCGTTCGCAATTTCTAAAAATTTTTCGAAAGGGTAGCCAATCAGCCTGTCACCGGTGAACGATGGCTGGCAACTCGCTGGCTCGAATGTATAGCGACGAATCAAGCGACAAATTAAGCGACGAGCAGAGAAATTGTATCGAACAGCCGAAATTGTCCAATCAGCGGCACATTCGAAATCCGCGACGGTCGGAGGCAGATTCAGGTTATCTTGCACCCTTCGCCACACGGCTGAGATCCGCTTCCACGAAGACGTTGTCGGCGGTCTCGAGACTCTGCAGCTTGTAGTCGGAATCCTCATCAGCAAACTTCCCCGTCGACAAATTACCGTCGATCCTAATAAGGCCTCGTCTCCATTGACACGAGGCAGGCAAAGGTTTCCGGGGCGTGGCTGAAGGAACACTGCCTCGAGGTGGTTGCTTCGACAAAGGCTGCGGCGTCGCGCCTCTTCCACGATTTATCCTCCCATCGCGACCCTTTGTGAAGCGAGCGTTATTGACGCCCTCCACGTCGGCCACTCCGTCTCTCTCTCTCTTCCTCTTTCTCTTCTTCCTCTTCCTTCTTTTCCTTCTTCTTTTTCCTCCGTGTCTTCCACTTTCCGGTATATAGGCACATTTGGTCTCTCTCTTTCTCCAGTTCGATTCCAGGCTGCATGAAAAGAAGACGCTGTCTTCTTGGGTGCGACTCGTAATTGGAAGGTTCTCATGCGTGGATATCTTTGATCTGTACAGTTACGGATTCCATATCCTACGTGCTTCCCCGTATTTTCCACCGCAACTTTCTCCTATCCCATTTTTATGCGAGGACACAGAGGTACGTGGTAGCTTCACGCGAATCGGTCCACATCGGTTCGAGACAAACGTCGATCGAACGGAAAGTCTAAGGTCTAGTTATCCTGCTCGAACGATTCTAATAGAACGGATAGCAACGGATGGGCGCTATCTTAAATTAAGATCAAAGTAACGAACGTTTGACAGCGCAACGCGAATACACGGAACAGAATAGAACGCGTAGAGTATAGAAAGCGCGTAGTAGGCAACGACCATAGATACCCGGTGCAGCTGTAACAATTCATCCTATAGCTCCGCTATATATTTCTCCTTCGGTGTATCGCAAAATTATGGTGGATACCGAGCAACTAAATTTTCCCGTCGATGTATGCCCTAACTACAGACGGGCCCCTAATGGGTTCGCGGTGGTTGATCGCAAGGGGCAACGATTTCATTGGGACGGTGTACTACGGGGGTTGGGGATTCGAGGCTCGCGTCGAGGTAACACAGAGTAGGGTAGCACAGAGGGCAGAGGGGTAGCAAGTATAGAGGGCTAACATAGAGACAAGGGGGGTACAAGAGAGATTGGGATATACTGGAGGGCCTCCGATCGAGCTATCAAATTGTCGCAGTGCGGTAGTGATGTAGGCAGAGGTTTAGGCAGGCTGGCTGGCCGGCGCGCTTCGCTCGGCCGGCTACTGTCAGCAATGTCCAAAGAGTGACAGAGAGAAAGATCGGAAGCGGATACGAAGAGCAGAGACGAAAGCGGGACGACACGAGTGGCTACCGGGACCGGGGAATCGTCGCTTAGGATCGCAGCTTGTTCCTGGCCTGTCCTCGTTCCTCTAATAGAATTCCGTAGTCCTCTGCAGCTGTTTCACTCGGCACAGTCATCTAGCCGAGCGCGTTCTCTTTGCCCCCGCACCGCCGTTTGCTTTCTCTTTCTCTTCTTGTTCTCCACTGTCGTCCGATCCTCTGTATCTTTCTCTCTCCATCTTTGCCACAGACAGGTACGATCTTCGCAGAGGCATCCCATTGCTCCCTTACTCTTGTATTTCTGTCGCTGTCTCGCGATTCTCCAAGCCTCCACTCTATTCCTCTTCGCTGGAGCCTCCACTCGACTCCCAAATACTACAATTTCAACCTTGTCGCCACTACGGCACTTTAGCTACGAAATGATAAATTCCTGGCCCGTCTGGCCTTCTCTGCTTCCTCTACTCTGCTGCTCGTCGTCGATTTCCTTCTTCCGTGTCCCGATGCTCCTTCAACCACTGACGCACACACCCAAAGTCGTTTCATTCGGTAACCACTTTGTGTTTCTACCGTGGTTAAGCCGACTCGCTCGATTGCTTCGTCGATAGCTGCGTTCCTTCTGTTCTGTCGCCTCGATTAGCCGCGCGCGTCGTCGCGCCGGCTGGAAAAATTTCAAGTATCCGGCGTGTCGATCGATCCATTGCCTGCTCTGTCTCTCTCCGTTTTCGCTCAGTTTCTTTATCTCGAATCTTATTCTTGCGGGAAACCGGTTCATTCAATCGAATTAACTTTCATTCACCGATCGCTGTTTACATATCGCGTTACGTAGCTACTCTCGTACAATTTGTTAACATTATTTTTCTTACACAAACGGACTCTCCACGCAAGATACTTTCCTCACTATGCATGAAAGAGCATTTTTTTCTGAAAAAATAGCAGAGTAACACGTTTCTTTATGGCGTAAATTTGAAGCCGATTTTTTCAAGTTTTCCATCCCGCTCGCGCAGCTTCTTTGTCTGTTTGCTCGACGAATTTAATCGACGAGGATGGTAGCTCGATAGACGAATCGAGGTTAAACGAAGCCCCTCGTCCCAGCCGGAACTTCCGGACAAACAGAGCTTGTGCAGATCCAGCCTCGCGGAATTCACAGTCGAACTCGGGTACAGGATCAAGTGGATAAAAACGTCCCAGAATAGGATAGAA